GAGACTTGAAGGTGTGATGCCACCTGGTCCACAGTCACAAGGCAGGTGGTGACTTGGATCTGTAACTGAGTGCCAGGTCCCCACCTCGTCACTGCAGGCCCATCTGTGCACCTTAGAAGGTCAGTCCCCATGCCTGCTGGGGGCACCATATGGTCCCAAGCATAAACACCGGGCTCTGAAATTTCCATCCCCTACTCAGAGGTCAGACTAGCATACATGACTTGCATGAACTTACAGGCATGTTTTGTTTAGTCACAGTATTATTATTATATAATAATAATAATTATTATTATTAATTTTTTCAGTACTGGGGTTTGAACTCAGGGCCTTCACCTTGAGCCACTCCACCAGCCCTATTTTTGTGAAGGGTTTTTTCAAGATAAGTTCTCACGGAACTATTTGCCCGGGCTGTCTTCAAATTGTGATCCTCCTGATCTCTGCCTCCTGTGTAGCTAGGATTACAGGTGTGAGCCACTGGTGCCCAACTTGTCACAGTATTTTTTAGTGGAATTTCTTGCCTATGTGTAAAAGTGAAGTTTCACTGGGAGTGTGCAAGGGCTCTGCCCTTGGTTCTGAAATCATCCTTTTAGGACTTTTATCTCTCCTTGGGCTCTGATTAACTTCACACATCTTCCAGCACAAATATGCCAAATGATTTTTGACAAAAGAGCAAAAACAATCCAATGGAGGAAGGATGGTCTTTTTAAACAAAGACTGTTGAAACAATTGGACATCCACAGGTCTGCTTAACAAACTGCACATCACACAGAACAAGTCATCCAAAATAGATCATGATTCATGAATTCAAATATAAGACATAAAAACTATCAAACGTTTTTTGCTTTTATAGCCAGGCTGGCCTCGAGCTCATGATCCTCCCGTCACACCTCCTGAGTGCTGGGATTACAGAGTGCCCCACCATGCCCAATTAAAACTATAAAACATTTAGAAGAACAAGTAGGAACAAATATTGGGTATCTGAGGTTAGGTGAAGGTTTCTTAAACATGACACCAAAAGCAAAATCCTTAAAAGAAAAAAACTAATGAGATATATTTCATCAAATTTAGAAACTTTTGTACTGTAAGCAATTCAGTGAGGAGAGTAAAAAGATGAGTCAAGGACAGACTATATATTATATACTGTAGATACTAGTAGACAGAGAATTCTCAAAGCTCAACAGTAAAAAGTTCAATTGTAAGTACTCTGGAAGCAGAGATTGGGAGGATTGTGGTTCAAAGTCAGCATGGGTAAAAAGGTTCATGAGACCCCATCTCAACCAATGGCTGGGGGAATTGGCTCCACCTGTCATCCCAGCTAGGCAGGGAAGAACAAATAGAAGGATGGTGGTCCAGGCTGGCCAGACATAAAGCAAGATCCTATCTCAAAAATAACCAAGGCAAAGGGGCTGCAGACTTGCTCAAGTGGTGGAGCACCTGCCTAGCAGTCACAAAGCCAAGTTCAACCCCCAATACCACCAAAAAAGTTATTTAAGTTCAATGAGAAAATAAATAAAAGACATGATCTGACACTTCACCAAAGAGGATGCACAGGTGGGAAATAAGCATGCAAAATATATCCAACACTGTTAGCCATTAGGGAAATTCAAATTAAACCCACATTGGGCTATGCCTATCAGAACACCTGAAATTTAAAAAAAATGATAATACCAAATGCTGGCAAAGATGCAAAGAAACTGGATCCCTTGTACATTGCTGGTGGGAACATAAGAGGATACAGCCACTCTGGAAATAGTCTTACAAAACTAAATATACCCTCACTATGTGACACATTAATTGCACTGGCATATATTCCAGGGAAATAAAAAATGTATATGCACATTTAAAAACCTATGCATGCATGTTGATAACAGCTTTATTCATAGTGGTAAAGTACCAAGTACTCTTTAACAGACAGATGGTTAAGCCAACTGTAATGCATTCATACAATGGAATACTACTCAGTAATGAAGAGGAGAGCTGCCAGAGTGGCTCCAGTGGTACAGTGCCTGCCTAGCAGGCATGAGGCCCTGAGTTCAAACCCCAGTGCCACCAAAAAAAAAAAAAACAGGATCAGTAATGAAGAGGAATGGATGATTGGTAAGTGCAAAACTTGTATGAACCTCAAGGGTGCTATACTTAATGAAAAAAGTTGATTTCAAAATATTACATACTATGGTTTAGAACATGCTCAAAAGTGACAAAGCCATGGATAGAAAACAAATAAGTGGTTTCCAGTGGACAGGAATGGAACAGGGAGCAAATTCAAAGGGGTGGCAAGAGGTCGTTGTGGCAATGGAACAGCTCTGTATTTTGATCTAGTGGTAGCCATATGGCTCTACATGGGGGGTGAAATTGCATGAAGCCTCCCCACACACACATGAATGTATGTAAATGTAACTAGACCACTGACTGTGGTCTAGTTAGTGGTATTGTGCCAGTGCCAGGTTCCTGGTTTTGATATTGCACTGCAATCACACAATGTCACCACTAGAGGAAGCTGACGAAGGAGTCATAGGATTTTGTACTGCATTCACAACATGAAACTCACGATTATTTCCAAATAAAAGTTTGAAAAGTTGAAGCCATCCTTTTCTATGGGGTCTCCAGAACACAATCAAGCTTCATGTGACTCCAGCCCTTCCCTCACTCCTTCCCACATCATGCACTCCACACACGTGGTAAGGTGTGACCCAAAGATCCTTGTACCAGCATGCTCTGAGACCCTTCCCTGCCTTTGCCTGGGACAAGCATCCCCTCCCCCAGCTTCCCACCTTATTGTTTTAAGTCAAGTTCTCGATTTCTCTTTGCAACACAGCCTCACGACTGCCTCACTTGGTGCCCACACAGAGTGCTGTGCAGACTTCTGACACTGCTCCTAACACTGCACTGCCATTGTTAGTGTATTGCCAACTTTCCCTTTGGGGACACTGGGACTTCACATTAAGTCATTTTCTGCAACGTCCCGAATAGCTCCATAGACACAGTAAAAACTTAAGCAAAGGTTAGAGGAAAGGAAGTAGGAGGGAAGAGAAAGCTCAAAGCATGGAGAAGCCACTGTCCCCCGCCCCCCTGCACTGCTGCCTGCCCACTCTCACCACTTGTCTGCTTTTTCTTTCCTTTCTATTTTTTGTCTGCTTTTTCTTGACTCTTTCTGTTTCTGATCCCACTGCTCCACTGAGCTGCTTTCTTGAACTTCACCTGTGACCTTGTGAAGGTTAAGTTCAATGGCCCCTTCTTGAACATCCTGACTCACCTCTGCATCTCTGGCTTTCCTATCCTCCTTCAAACATTCATCGTCCTTGTCACCTTGTTCAATGCATCTTCCTTCTCCCCAGAGTCCCTAACTCTAGTGTGCTGAGGTCTCTGTCCTTGGTTCTGAACTGTTGCCTTGCAGATTTCACCTCTCCCTGGACTGCACACTCCTTCCTCTCCAGCCCTCAGCACTCTGCTAAGCCATATCTCTAGCTTCTTGCTAGAGACCCTTCTGCATGGTAATTCAGTCACACGTAGAAAACTCTGCGTCCTTCACGCCTGCTCCTGACTTTCCTACACCTGCCAATAGGGCTCTGTTCCTCAGGTCTCCCAGCTTAGGACCTCCACTTTCCCAGACTTTTCCTTTCAAATGAAACTCACAGCTGCTAAATGAGCCATCTTGAAGCAATCCTATGATCTCCTCTGAGTCTGCTCAAGTTTATCCAAGATTTCCAATAACATTCAAGCAAGAGTTGGGTCCTAAGCCCCTCAGCACATCCCACTTCAGCTTTCCTAAGCTGCCTCCATCTGTACTGTCACAAGAAAAATTTCATTGTGCTAGAATATTAGACACATCTCACCAGGAGGAACTGCGTGCTTACAGGTCTACCATGGGTGACTGCTGTTATGAAGGTATTTCCTGCCTCTCTACTTTCACTTACGCTGTTCTTCTGAATATGTCCCCTCTCTGGAAACTGGTATCACTAGTTCAGGACAGGTTTGTGCCTGGGGATGGAGAGAAGAGGACTGGTCCAGGTGCAGGGAGTGAGTGGCAGCCTGTGCAAATCTTCCCATCAAAGTATAGGGAGGGAGAAATTGACAGGCATTAAAAAAAAAAAAAAAAAAAAAAAAAAAAAACACCTGAGCCTCTTCCCTGGCTAGACAGATTGAAAAACTGTCTTTGTCTTTCTCTCCTGGGGAAAGGCTTAATTGCTAACAGGTGGTCTCAGCCAACTTCTAAAGTGCACAGATATGGACTCTAGGTTAATTCTGTGCACAGAAGACCCCTCCCCAAGGTTAGGGAATTCCAGGAGTGATATTAAGGGCATCCACCTTCTCCCATTTCTGCTCCAACTCACCCCAGCACTTTAACTTGTAGCTGCTCAGCCATGGCCAGCCCGGGCAGAGGTGTGCTGAGCCCATCCACAAGCTCTGTGGCCACAGGGACAGAAGGAAGGTGGGGAAGCCCAGGAGATCCAAGAGCATCAGAAGAGGGGAAGGAACACTGAGTGCTCAGGAGAGTGGGCAGCTGTGTGGGCAAGCTCTGTGAGGACCAAAGTCCTCCGCAATTGCCCCAGAGGAGGGGACAGAGCCCTGTGAGCCAAACCAGTGAGGGGTGTGTTCTCAGGGAGTCTCCTGGCCACAGGAAGGAAGTGATTACTGCCCTGGGGACACTGAGCTGAGAAGCTTTTGTGCCAAGGAGAAGAGAAAGGGGTCAGGTTCAAGAGCATGCAACTTTCAAAGAATTCTTGCCGTTAGTAGGTGACATGAGAGCGGGGAGCCAGGGAACCTGAGGAGGAGAAATGAAGACTCCCCCAGAGGAACTCCCAAAGAAGTCAGGAGGGTCTTGTTCCTTCTTCCATGCTGAAGACTACAAGGGAGTGTCCTCTGATGTCCAAGGGCCTCCTTTGAGGCCCAGGAAGAGTAAGTCTTCCAGAATCCAGTCACTGCTGCCTCCCTCCCTGGAGTCCAGAGTCAAGGTCTCTGTCACCCAGTCTTACACTACTGCACTCCCAGGGTTCTGCACTTCATGGCTCCTGGACAGATGACTCTGTCTTTCCCCCAGGAGCCCTCTGACGCCTGTTGACCCAGAAGACAGCACTGGCATGCTCAGAAACAGCGGCAGCTTCAGGAAGACCAGGGCCTGGAAGTGCACACTGCTGAACAGGGACCTGTGGGCACACAGGAACAGGGAATGAGCTGCTCCTCAAGGGGTGTTTCTAGGACCCTCCCCTCCCCACTGTGTCCTGGCTTTCGAGCCCAAACCATTCAGAACTGAACTGGAAAAGGACTCAGGGCTGCCTCTCTCTGTGGCCCCATCACCTCTCCTTCCTGGCCATGAGCGACTCATGAAGGTAAGGCGATGGAGTGAAGAGAGGGGAGGGAGGGTCCCAGGCAGTCCCAGCTTTCTGGAAGTACCCACTCCCTCCCTTCTATCAACTGGGCTTTGGGTCCTTACCATGGGTAGAGGGTAAACACCTCCTCAGTGCTGAAGTTCTGCCTGGCGGTCACCAGTGGGGAGGTGGGCGTCGTGGCTGGAAGTGTGGTCTTCCTGGGAGTTGTAGTTGCTGTTGAAGATAAAGTCACACATCAGGCTGTTGCCCTGTCCCCAGCCTGCATTAAGCACCTGTTTGGACCTGATGTCACACAGGATCATCCAATCACAGAGGAGCTAGAGAGGTACTCTTAAGCCACACCCAGGCCACCTCCTGGCTGGACTCCCTCAGGTACAGAAAGAGCCTGTAGCAAAACAGGTCATTAAGAGTCATCTCTAATAAGTGCCAGGTCTTTCCCTCCATCACTGTCTGACTTTGTCTGGGGGAAGACAGGGGTCTCCCGGGAGCTCTCCCTGCCTGGTGACTAGCTCAGAGAGGGAGTGTGGAGGAAGACAGTGGCCAAGGATCCTCCCAGGAACCATGAGAGGGGGCTCTGAGCAACCTTCAGATATGGACTATTAAAGGCCACTTTAACCCTGTGGTAGGGGACAGGTTGTTCCTCGGCTCCTCCCAAGGACATCCAGTGTCAGTCTATTGGTATAGCCTAAACCCCCAACCCACCCTACCCAAGGCTGCCTCTCCCTGCCCTCACCACAGGCTCCTCCCAATCCAAGACTGAGGACTCAGAGACACTTCAGTATAGCACCAGCCCTTGTCCCATGTCATCTCATCCCATAAGTTCTATTGCCCAAGCTGGGAGAGCTCTTACCTGGGGAAACATACACCCTAACCAAAACTGAGGGGTCACGTGACCACGCATCTATGATCCATATTGTCTGAATTTTGCACCAGTAAGATCCAGCATCACCCTCCTCGAGGTTCTCCATGGTCACTGTCATGGTGAGGTCATCAGCACAGTCTCTGATAGACACACGGCCACTCCTCTTTTCATCCTCTCCTCCATCGGTCTCCACAATACTGTGACATTTGATGTCATGTGGTCCTTTGCACCAGTATTTTTTATAGCCTTTGTAGGCCTTTTCATAATGACACTGCACACACAAAGAGCTCCCCACGGTGCCAGTCACAGAGCCGGGGCCCTTCAGAGACAAACAGCCTGGAAAACACAAGCCCACATCCCAGGTGTCCATTCAGATCGGCCGATCAGGAGCTGTCTGCCTGAAGCATAAGGGAAAACTGCTGGGGAGACCTGGATTGCTCCTGAGCAGGACCAGGAGCGACACCTAAACTTAGGCCCTAAGGCAAAGAGTCAGGAGGCTGCATCTCCCTCATGAGACCCTAACCCCAAGCAACCACATGGAGGCCCCACCCATGGGGACTGAGTGAGTGGGGCCAAAGCAGGAGGTGGAAGGAGAGAGGACATTCATCCTGTCCATCCTCACTCTGCCAGGCAAGGGGTTTGATCACATACAAAGCCCTTCCCTTTGGACGGAGGCCTCTGTAACTTAGTGTCTTCTGCAATTCAAACTTGTTTTTAATAACACAAATTCTAGTTTACTCTTCTGTCCATGTGGGGTTTTTTTGTTTGGTTGGTTTTTGGTTTTTTTGGTGGTACTAGGTTCAAGCTCAGGGCATCACTCTTGCTAGGAGGTGCTCTGCCATTTGAACCACTTTCCCAGTCCTTTTTGCTTTAGTTTGTTTTTCATATAGGGTCTCATGCTTTTCCCCAGGCTGACCTCAGACAATGATCCTGTTATCTCTGCCTCCTTCATAGCTGGGATTAGAGGCATGCACCGCCATGCCCAGGCACCCTTACGTGTTCTTGAGGGAGGAAAAATAAATCTCCAGCTCTAATCTGAACTGCTGTCCAGGGATTATCAGCAATTTGTGAGAAGAAGTGCTGTGCTTGAAGGAGACCTCACAAATTTCTTTACACAGGGCTTGGGCACAAGCTGCCTCTCCTGTCATTTTCCCCAGCACTCAAGTGTCAGCTGTCACCATGGGTTCAAAGACAAGAGGGAAGCTGCCCTATGACTGAGTGAAATGATTTGGGACCTGGCAGGAAAGTGGGGCTTCAAATCTGGGAGGCAAAATGTGAAAAACTGACATAGAAGGAAAGAGAAGCAGGAAGAGCAGATGTAGGTGAGTGGAGGGTTATGTATTATGGGATGTGACCCTCAGCAGAGCCCCCCACAGCTTGAGAAACCAGGAGAAACTTAGGAGTTCTTGGTTTGAACCTGAGTGTTGTGTATGTGCTGTGTGTGTGTGTGTGTGTGTGTGTAAACAGCAGAGGGGCTGGGCTTTGCACTCATGCTGAGTTGTGTTGGCATTAGGAGGACACACACATGCAGTGGTTGTGGAAGCACCAACCCTGGGCATTTGCAGGCTAAGCAGCCCCCTGGCATCTTGAACTAATTCCTCTCTCTCTCTCTCTCTCTCTCTCTCTCTCTCTCTCTCTCTCTCTCTCTCTCACACACACACACACACACACACACACACACACACACACACCAGGGAAGAACACAACTGATGGAGGAAAGCCCAGAGACCAGAGCCACTTATTCTCGGCTCCCTCTAGGCTGAGCTGTCTGTGTCTCTGTGTCTGTTAGATAAACATCTCTACCTTGGGGGTCTTTCTGATTCACAAATGTTTATCCAAGAAATGACTTTCCAATCCATTCTAAGTCAAGTAAACATCCATCCTTTTGCAGAGCCAGAATTGCATTTTGAAAAGCCTGAAAGTGCTTTGAAAAGTGCCTGAAAATGCACTTTGAAAAGCCTGAAAGTCAGATCTCTGACTGGATGATGGCTTATTTCTCTACTAAGCAACCTTCTCATTGAAATGACACCAGTTTGATTTATCTTCTGAACACACAAAAAAAGGTTCTTAAAACATCCACAGCCATATATAAAGGCTTATTTCATTTGTAAAGACTTAAATTTGAGGGCTATGACAAGGAGCCTGGATAAGAACATCCAGCTAAAGTCCAGTTTGAAAGCCACTATCTTGCAGAGACAAGGGTCTGGGTAGAAAGTTTACAGAAGGTGGAGCCAGGGTTGTGACTCATGGAATCACAGACACTCCAGTTTAGAATGTGGCATAATATTAATTTGCCCAATTTTCTATTCAAGAAAATTGAATGTTTTCTTGTCACAAATATGACAAAAGCAAATGTTCATGCAAGTGTTCACAAATGACACCAAATTAATGCGGTTTAAAAGAGGAACCGGGGTTGGATTGGGAAGGAGTGGGTAAATCTAAGGGGTTGATAACTGTAAGTCTTGGTTTGACTCGTGCATTCACAGATGCTGGTTAAATTAAGTACAACTAAAATAACAGAGGGTCTTACATGAGAGAGTGTTGTGATCCATGATTCAGCCAATCCTGGCACCTAAAGTTAAACAGAAGGTTCTACCAATTCCAAGAGTAACTTCCTTTGTCCTGAATGCAAGACGTGTGCATTCAGGAATCCTTCATGGGATTATATGAATGCCTGTGTGCCTGTTTTTATAAATGTGTTAGTTAGTTGCTTGAAGTTAATAGTTGCTGGCGAACACAGAGGAGCAATCAGTTCCAAGGGTAAATACCAGATGATGCAGCAGAGAGACCATCAGAAGCATCCTGAAATATTTCATGAATATTAGCAGTTTAACTTTATTCTGAACACTCCACAGCCAGTCAGAAGGGTTCTGTGGAAGAGACAGATGTGGACTTTGTTTTCAGTTCTGTGGAGTTGCTATGTCATGGGCTACTCCCCTTGCCATTTTATCTGTAAAATGAAGACACTATCTTTTCTGCCTTGGTCACGAAGTTGCTTAGAGAGTCATATTGTATCGTCAGCTGCTATGATTCCACAAATGAGTGAGATTGGGTGGTATTTGTCATTCTGTGCCTGCCTCCCCCACCCCCTTTTCTCCTCCTCCTCCTTCTTTTTAGCTCAGGCTGGCCTCACAATGATGATCTTCCTGGCTCAGTCTCCCAAGTACTGGGATTACAGTCATGCACAGCCAGGCCTAACTTAATGTTCTTTGTGCTCGTTCACATCACAAACAATAAGACTGATTTGAGTATTACACAATATGTACATATATCAAAATATCGTATTGTACCTCATAGATATGTGCAATTATTATACATCAATCAAAAATGTACAAAATTTAAAGCATACTAAAATTGCATTGTCAATTTAAAAAATGCAGATTGTAAAATACATAATAAATACAAGTTCTAGTTTTGCTCATTTTATATTGAAATTCACTTCCTTCCTCTGCCCTTTTCCTCTTTGCTCTGGCAATGTACCTTCCACCTTTCTTTTCATCCCTTTTTCATTCCCCATTCCTTGAAGACCCCTTTATAAATTTCAAGCAATTGCATTTTTTCTAAACCCTGTAAGCCTGGCTGAATGTGGTGGGAGAGGGAATACTAGCAAAGAAACGAGGGACCAAAGCCAGGAATAGGGATGAATAGGAGAACTGAAATTCACTCTACAAGTGACTTCATAGTTTAAATCTAGTCCCATGAGGTGCCTCCAGCTGCAAATGCACCCTGGATGAAAAGGTGAGCCTGTGAGGCAGGTTGGTCAGCCAGCTCCCGTGAGCAAGTGGGAAGAAGCTTCCATCTTCAATCTAACTGCACTCAGCTAGAGACTTGGGTAACTTAGTCAGACTTAAGCAAGCAGACTCAAATGAACAAGGAAGCATTGGTACACAGTTCTGGGTTAGGGGAGTCCTGACTTGTGGTGTTTGCTGATTTCTAGGGTAACTTTAAGCTGTTGCCGAATGCAGAGAAGGGAAGACACACACATAATCCTGTGAGCTGGTACAGATGGTTCCAGCCACCAATGTTTTGGGTACCTACTTCAGTTTTTATGGTGATTCACAAAATGTCCAATGCACTCTCTAAATTATCTATCATCATCCTCGTTGTCCCTGTCATCATCACCAACAGTTAAGACACTTTGGGCCCTTTCCATGAGTCATAAGATACATGTCTTCTAAATGCCTTTCTGAGTCTAAAGATCCAGATTAGAGGATGCTAAGAGAACTTGGAGGTCATCCAGTCCTCTCTCACTTGATTCTCTCAGCTAATCTTCATTCTTCAAATCTGTCTTTTCCACCCTCCATTCTAGACAGAGTCCGGTCATTACATTGGGCAGAGAATCTGATCATAAAACTCATTTGCAAACACAAAGAATAGCCTCTAATTTTTAGCCTAAACTTATTTCCCAGAGAAAAATGTGTCTTCCTGCATGATTTCATTTCAAATAGCTTTTCAAAGAGTTCCTCTTCTAAAAGTCCAACTTTTGGGGACAATTTTGTTTGCTTGTTTATGCCACCCTTTGTTCCAGGAAGTATTTAAAGTGAATCCTAACAATGATATTTGGGTTTGTTCATTTGTTTGTTTGTTTTCTTTTCTTTTTGAGACAGGGTCATGCTATGTAGCCCAGGCTAGCCTCAAACTTGTGATCCTCCTATCGAGGCCTCCTGAGTGCTGGGATTACAGGCAAGCAACACTGCTATGAAGTCTTTCTCACAAATCTGTGCAAACCCTTCAATGCTAAACTTAAGCAAAACAGAACTATTCTTAATTCCTGAGCTTTCTATGGTCTTTAATACTGTCACACTATTCCTTTTTCCACTTAGCTGGCTCATTCATCCTCCCAGACTGACTTCCATGAAGTCTCAGCAAAGCTTCCCATCTTCTGAGAGCAAAGCTAGGGGTCCCTGTTGCACACACTCATCACCCCCCAAATGAATCCATACTGCAGCAAGTTCAACATTGCAGTGTAGTTACTTGACTCCCTCGTCCATCCATGAGTCACTCAAGTGCAGAACTTGTAATTACAGCACCCAGAACTGTCCCCCCACACAGTGCTTAATAAGTTTTGTAGGATCAATGAATGAATATTTGAATGTATAGAAAGACATACAGATGGATGAATGGATGCTTCCTTCCCATTCTGCTGACACCTCACATCTGGTCTGAACCCAGGACCCCTACTGTCCCACCCCCTAAAATACCAGGTTCCCAAAGCCCCACCCCCACTCACCTTGGAGGCAGAGAAGGAGCAGAGCTGGGGGCAGCCACATGGTCCTGCCTCTCTGGCTGCTATCCCCAGCAATTCCAGGTCCCAGCCAGAAACCAGATATGTTTAACAGAGCCCAGGGTATCCACCTTCTACTTGTCCAATTTTCTCTGTACTCTCCCATCTACTTCCTTTTTTTTTTATCTCTTAGCTGCTTCCTAATTTAACAAAAGAGGAAGAGAATGGGCTAAGGACAAAGAGGGAAATTTGCTGAATTTTCTTTTGCTTAATTAAAATATAGCATTTGGTTCACACTCTGTGCCTTCATGAAAGTCAATCACAACACATGAAACCTCAAGCAGAGGAGGTCTTTTGTCCCTTTCCTCTCTCCCCTTCTTGTCTAGGACTGCATCCTTGATCTCACTATGGCTGACTACTTTGGGGTCATTAACGCTCACCACTCAAAGAATGGTGGTGAGCACTCCCATGTCTCTCTCAACCATTACCCACCCACAGATGACCTCCCTCCCAGTGTCCCAGTATTGGCCCAAGTTGGCTCCAGACCCAAATTCTAACTTCCTATGGGCAAGTGCCACCCGGTCGTGCACTGTTAACCTCATTCAGAATCAAAGTCACAGCTAAGAGCATCGATTCCAGAGCCTCACCTACTCCAATTCCATTTCTATCCTTTACGAACCATGTGCCTTTGAGCACATTGCTTAATCACTCCTGAAATGGGCGATAGTGACCATCCTTATCTCACAGGGCTGCCACAGGAAATAAATGAATTAATTTGCCTGACAATTGCTTCCACTTTTTCTTCTCTTTCCCCAGGATTTGCTACCCATAGCTTCTTACTTTTATTATCTTCTGGAACTCTCTACTGGATCATCTGTCATTACAACCTTTGCTTAAAAAGCACACCTTTCTTCTTTCTCCCACCACATCTGATGAAATATCAAGATTGAGCCCTGGAGGGGACAACAAAACACCTGGATCCTAGTCCTGTTTGTCACTAGCTGCACACCTGGGGAACAGGTCATGTGTTGTGCATCCTGTGCCATTTCTCCAGCAGAGACAGCAGGTGGGGGCATCAGGGCTCTGGCCAAGAGGGACAAACAAATCTCCAGCCCCTGCTTTTGGCCGATTTTTTGCTTTGTGTAGGGGATCCGGGGTGGGGGCAGGAATTGTGTGTGTGTGTTGTGTGTGTGTGTGTGTGTGTGTGTGCTTCCCTGGATCATCTGTCATTACAACCTTGCTTAAAAAGCACACCTTTCTTCTTTCTCCCACCACATTGATGAAATATCAAGATTGAGCCTGGAGGGACAACAAAAACCTGGATCCTAGTCCTGTTGTCACTAGGCTGCACACCTGGGGAACAGGTCATGTGTTGTGCATCTGTGCCATTTCTCAGCAGAGACAGCAGGTGGGGGCATCAGGGCTCTGGCCAAGAGGGACAAACAAATCTCCAGCCCCTGCTTTTGGCCGATTTTTTGCTTTGTGTAGGGGATCCGGGGTGGGGGCAGGAATTGGTGTGTGTGTGTGTGTGTGGTGTGTGTGTGTGTGTGTGTGCTTCCTTATTTTTTCCACAATCTAACCCCTGAAGTTATTTATTTAAAAAAGGAAATAGGTGTTAGCAAAGCCAAGTGCTGATGGCTCGAAAAACTACAAAATATGTCTCATGTGAGCACATTTCATTATAATCCAACAAGAAACCCAAATTCCATATGATACAGTACGTTGAGTCAATATAGAGCCTCTCCCACTGGCTCCAAACATACAGAAATTCTATTTAAAAAACAGTAAGTATACAACCCCTACTGGTTTTGCTTTGTTTGGGGGCGCTGGGAATTGACTCAGTGCCTCACACTTGCTAGGCGAGCACGCTGTCACTTGACCACATGTCCGGTACTTTTGCTTTTAGCTTGGTTTGTTTTTTAGATAGGGTTTCTTCCTTGTACCTGGGCTGGCCTCAGATGGTGACCACCCTACTCTCCCAGTTACATTACTTACACTGTAACAGATGTGTGCGACCCAAACCTCAATTTCCTGTCACCTGAGGGCTTCGCCTTCCCCTCTCAGCAGCAACTCTCGCCTGCTCCTCTACACCTGGGATATCCTACCTGGTGTCTACATCCCCTGCCGTGTGTCTATTGCATCCTCAGAACACCTCATCCTGGAGCCATCAGCTCCTCAAACTCAACATGGCCAAAGTCTAACCTTCTCTCACTCACCTCCCACCCAACAACAGCAACAGCAGCAGAAAGCTCTTCCTCTTCCCACTCTCCCTGGACCATTTTCATCCATTTATCGTTTTTGTAAAAAGAAGAAGCCGGGTGCCAGTGGCTCACACTCATAATCCTAGCAACTGAGGAGGCAGAGATCAGGAAGGTCAAGGTTTAAAGCCAGCTCAGGGCAAATAGTTTGCAAGACCCTATTTTGAAAAACCCATGACAAAAAAAGGGTAGCGGAATGGTTCAAGGGATAACAGCACCTGCCTAGCAAACAAGAGAACCTGAGTTCAAACTCCAGTGCACTTAAAAAAAAAAAAGGAAGAAGAAAGAGAGAGAGAAAGAAAGAAAGACTCAAAGTACTCCATCCAACTGAGAAATCAGTCCAAACAAAGAGTTGAGGTTTGAGGAAAATGTGGTGTAAAGGAGACACTAGTGGGAAATAAAATCAGGTAAACTTGAAAATTTATGTCTAAATCATTATTATTAACAGGAGCACAGTTTTGAAAATGCTAAAATTAATCCTGGAAAAAAGATACACTTTTTTTGATTAATAGAAGCATGTAGCAGGCTGGTGAAATGGCTCAAGCAGTAGAGTACCTGCCTACCAAGTGTGAGACCCTGAGTTCAAAACCCAGTGCCACCAGAAAAAAAAAATTCATCTAGGGCTCAAAGTGCAGAGGGTTGCAGATATTTCTCACTTCCTGCAGAGATTCTGGTGACTGGTCTGGGTTCCATTAGACCACAGATGGGTGTGGGCCTCCTTCCTAGTAGGACTCTGGCTGCAAGTGGTAACTTGACTGTTCCAGTCCACAGCAAGGTGAGTAGCTGGCCTCATGGACCCTAGACCTGAAGGATGAGGAAGCATCTCTAGGAAACAGGAAATGGTTGAACAGCTACAGCGGGAAGAGGCTGGGCCAGAGTTCCAGTAACGACCACCATGGCTTTTCTTCCTTGGGTGTGGTTCTTAAGAGCTTCCCAGAATTACTTCTAAGGTGCAAAACAAAGCTTCAAAGCAGGAATCATGCCCCCACTTTACAGATGAGAAAACAGAGGTCATCCACCAAAGCTCACAAATCCCGTTTGCTTGTGGTTCTTTGGGATGTGAGGGGAAAGCCAATGGAGAAAGCAGGAAACCTGCTTATAAAGGAGTCCAAGAGCTCATAGGAAGAGGGAGATCACTTCCCCTAAAGATGCACAGGCTTCACACCATCTCCACTGTCCAGCTCAGGGGTTGTAGGCCGGACAATGCACAGCATGACTTAGGGGGAAGGGCACACTACTGTCTAGGTGTCACCATTCTTCCTAGGGGGAGTGAGATGCCTGCAGGGCTCTGCCTGCCCAGCCCCACCAGTGGCCAGTGTCAGAAGCATCTAGAACACATGCATTTTGGGGAATCTGCCAGAGGGAAGAGGCTTAGCTTCTAGAAGAGAAAGCTTGTCTGTGGTTGTCCACCAAAACACACAGTGAGGAGGCAGAAGCCGGGGAAGTCCAACGACAAGCAGGGACAGTATCATTAGTCACAGGAAGATGCAAACCAAATCCTCAATGAGGTACCACTTCACGCACCACCGATTGCTAAAATCAGAGGTACTGGGGTTTGAACTCAGGGCCTCATGCTTGTAGTCCAGTGCTCTACTACTTGAGCCACTCCACTGGCCCTAAAATCAGAAATGCTGATGAGGATGTGGAAATGGGAACTCCCTGTCTTCACATCAAAGCATTCCCAATGTCCCAAATAGTAGTTCTCTCTCTCTCTCTCTCTCTCTCTCTCTCTCTCTCTCTCTCTCTCTCTTCTCCACACACACACACACACACAACTCTTAGACACAAGTCTGTGCTCTTTGATACAAGGGTAAAAGTAAATGACACTCATCCCCATGGAAACCTCTGCTAGTGCACCCCACACACATCTGCACCCTCCTCCCTGAGGTACTTCGTGGTCATTGTGAACAAGCATTTGCTCGAGCTGTCTTGGTGGACCCAAGGTCTTCTGTCCCACCTCAGAGCCATGAGCACAGACTACCTCACTCAACATCTTTTCTTCGGAGTCCAACACTCAACACAGCCAACCCATCATGCCACCACTATCTCCCTTTGGTCAAACACATTTCAGGTCAAGAGCATGAAATACCTGCAAATTTCAGATTCTCTAAGGTCATGACCTGTCATGGTGGAACACACTCTCAGCTGCTGCAACTCCTAAGGAAATAATCCCAATGGGTTAGGGAGCCCCAAGGGTTTCGGCCCAAGCTGACTCAATAACTGTGCACAGGCAGACTCTAGAGAATTAACCACCCCAGATCCTGACGGGGTGTGGGAACAATAATGGCCCGGTTGATGTCTTCGGAGGAATTCACGCCTGCTTCTTCAGAGGAACACGTCAGTGTGTGTTGGCACATTTCAGGAGGCTGCTCCCTGGAGAAATGGCAGCCTCTACTTTGCCTCCACTCCTGTGACTGCTTCTCTCCATCCACATGGGAAAGTCTATGAACCCACACTCCTGCAGTTTTCTGATGTCCACCGATTGTTCTGTCTCTGTCTGCTGTGGGTTTTGTTTGGGTTTTTTGTTGTTGTTGTTTTGTTTTTGATTTTTGTGGTACTGGGGCTTGAACTCAGGGCTTCACACTTTCTGGGTAGGTGCTCTACCACTTGAGCCACTCCACCAGCCCTTTTATGTGTTGCGTATTTTTGAGATAGGATCTCATGAACTATTTGCCCAGTCTGGCTTTGAACCTCGATCCTCCTGATCTCTGCCTCCTGAGTAGCTAGGATTACAGGCATGAGCCACAGGTGCCCACCCGACTCTGCTGAGGTTTTGACAACTTCATTC